GATTTTGTCAATTTCCACAACGATTTTGTCATAAAAAAAATTGTCAGAATTATAGATGATTTTGTCATTTTTTTAGACGATTTTGTAAAAAAAAGTAACAATTTTTCATTAGACGAAATTGTTTTTATTTTAGACGGTTTTGTCATTTTTTATAGACGAAATTGTATTTAACCTATAAATATCTGCAAGAATCTACGCTTTGTTCTTTAATGATGGGTCGAAAAACTTAATTCTATCTAGTGTAAAAATTGCTTTCGGAGAGAAAAGTGAAGACCAAAAAAAGGTTCGAAAATTTAGTCGCAAAATATCGATGGGTCCAAAAAATTCATGGGGGGTCAAGATCAATGAGATCAGGGGGCGTGAGAATCTATGTCAGAATAAATCTCTTGTGATATTCTCTGTCGAATGCTTTGCTGAAGTTCGTGTATAGAACGTCCACTTGCGCAACTGCTCTTCTTCTAATTTACATATTGCCAAAATCTCGATGCATCATGCTTGAGTGAAGATTTAATTTTCTCCACGTTTGTGTTGTACAGTTCCGTGTTCAGTTTATCAAATTTACGGGATGCCAAAATGTATTTCCATTCGAACGACTGAAGATAGCCAGACCGTCTTCAACGTTTCCATGCCTTATCCTTCCTATTTTTTAGTGTTATTAGGGATTTGTTTTTCTATGGACATTTTTGTATCGACTTGACGATGTACGTTGAAACAAATTTTATAATTGCATCGTCCAAAGTCTTGTGCAGCAGATTCACCTTCTCAGTGATGGTGGTGAACAGGCAATCGTTTCTGTACCACTGGCAACATTTGAAGAGCAGGTAACGGCTATTGCTGTCACACAATTCAATAGAAATACTTTAGTGTTGATTGGCACTATGGATGGCCGTATAAAAAAGCTGTCTATAGAATCAGGATCGGCGAAAATCGAAAAGGCTGACATAAAAGTGTTTGAAAACTCCCCAATCAATTCAATGCAATTTGATGTAGATGAATTAAGCCTCTATGTGATGTCAAAGAAGCAAGTTGTTAAGGTTAAGGTGTACGATAATTGTACAGTTTTCGCTAAATGTGACGAATGTGTGGATGCAAAAAACCTCTATTGCGGCTGGTGCCCGCATGTGAATCGATGCACTTTGGAATCCAACTGTCTTGATGAAAACTATAGCTCTGTTTCGTGGAAAAACTACGTAAGTTCTTAATTAACTACTTTGACTCACTGAAGAGAATACCGAAATTGTTGTGAAAATCAAAATTGAACGACGAATTTTCTAATGGAATATTATAAATTTCAATAAAACTTTTTTTTTGTCAACAGTATTGGCACCAAAATGGATCGTCAATTCAAGAAATATGCACTTCTCCAGCCTTAACACCGAATCTAACCAACTTCATTTTCTATCCACCCATCGTGCCATACGATAGTAAATCTCTCATAAAAATTATTACAAAACCGTTTATCAACGATTTTTCAATGTGGTACGTTAAAGTGAAAATTGTTGGTGTTAAATGTGCGGCGAACGACATAATTCTACATACAGTGCCCATCGAGTGTGTATTACGATTCTCTAAAATACGCCAAGGGAAAATTCTCATTCAACAATTCGGGAAAGCTGTGATATCAACAAAAAATTTCCAAATTGTTAATCCGACAATCGATAATTTTGAGCCAAAATACGGTCCTATATCAGGTGGTACGCTGATAACAATTACTGGCCAACACTTGAGTGCTGGTAGAAAGATCTATGCATATATGGGTGATTCGCATTGTTATATTCAGTCCAATGAAGAAAATCGAACGGTTTGCCAAAATACACAACCAAAAGATATACGGTCTGGCAAACTACGAATGACATTCGATAGTGCCACTCGCGAATATGATGGACAAAATTTTCAATTCGGAGATGATCCAACAATAATTTCAGTTGTATCATCCAAACTGAGTCATGGGGCGCCAAGATGTATTCCGGCAGGTGGTTTGAATATTATTGTACACGGAACAAGTTTAAAAATCATACAAAAGCCAGAATTGTATATTCATTACGGCAATAGAAACTTTTACTCCGAATGCAATGCAACAAATAATACGGTAATGAGTTGTATTTCACCTATCATCGGTGCTGACAATGAAAAATTAGACCCCGACAATCCAACAAAATTGGAATTCGGATTCATGATGGATCGTGTAATGAGTGTACGAGATCTCTCTACCAAGGGCTATCCAAAATTTGAGCTCTATCCAGATCCAACGTATGATACGTTCCCGGAGTTGGTGAAATATATTGAAAATCAACAACAACTGGCGATCACAGGAAAAAACTTGAATCTCACCTGCGAAATAAACGATGTACGTGTCATGGTTGGTGAAGATCTTTGTAATATTACATCACTTTCGCGGAGTTTACTTGAATGCCAACCACCACAATTGATTGCGAAAAATGAGTATGTAATTATTTCAAAAAATTCGTCATTCTCTTCAAAGAAAACAACAATCTTTCCTTTTACTCACTTTAATTTTCTTAGATTTCTCAAGGTCACAGTGCAAGTTGGTCGCGCCCTTAAATTTAATATTGGCGTTGTAAGCTATGACGTACCAGTCAATCAATCTCTAAATAGTTCGTACAGACAGTTTTCATTATGAATAACATTAATTCTGTTGAATTTTGAGTAAAAATAAATTTCGTCATCATTAGCTATTATCATCATCGTTGTAACACTGAGTTCAGTAATTGTTATATGCATTGTTGTCTTATCCCTACGAACTCTTTATGATCGTCGAATGATACGTGAATTAAAGGCTGCCGGCTTGCAGAATTTCGAAGCAGGAAATGCTGAAAGTATAAATCCATATGTACCGTTAGGTGATCAGGCCGATTTACTACCATATGACAGCAAGTATGAATTTCCGAAAGAACAATTAAAACTCGGAAGTACACTTGGCTCTGGTGCGTATGGTGTTGTGCTCAAAGCGATCGCTCAACAAATTTTACCCAACGAAGAGAAAAGTACGGTGGCCGTCAAAATGGCAAAACGAAATTGTGAGAACGAGGTTTGTGTTTTTCCATAAAATTCATTCCAAATTGATACAATGTCAATCATGATGAATCATTTGTTCCAAACGGATAAAGGAAATGCGAGCGCTAGTAATGGAGCTCAAAATCCTGATACATCTAGGTCATCATGATAACGTAGTGAATTTACTTGGAGCCGTTACCACAAATAAAGAAAAACGTAAAATTGCCTATGAACTTTGATTTGAATATATTTTCAAAATTTTCTTTTATTTACTTGCTAAAGGTGAACTAATGATTATTGTGGAGTACTGTCCATTCGGAAATGTTAAAAAATATTTGGAAACAAATCGCGATCATTTCATTAATCAAATCGATGAAGATACAGATGAAATAGATCCAACAAAAGAAACACAAGAGGATAGGGATATCGATTCCGATCATAGCAGGTATTTCCCTTGTAATTGTTTCCCTATTATGTTTAATTCATTTCTACTGATGCTTTAATTCTGGCACGTATTAATTCAATGAAAGCAGCGATAGCGGAGGGAATCTAAAATGTGTTCTCAGTGAGGGATACACCAAGAAAAAGTTAGGCGTTTTGTTCAAAAGAGTAGACACAAACGCGAGCGGTTTGTTCTAGACTAGAACTTCTAGTTCATTTCAAAATTCAATCCAATTTCTTTAGCCAGAAAAATTAAAATTAAATTTAAATCGCAGATTCGCAAAGATTGATACCAAGCTGCTCAACAGATTCAGCAGATCGTCCGTTTTCCACAATCAATTTACTTGAATGGGCACTGCAGGTTGTGCATGGAATGCAGCATTTGGAATCACGAAACATTTTACATGGTGATTTAGCTGCTCGAAACATTTTGCTCTGTGATAATGGAGTGGTGAAAATTTGTGATTTCGGTTTGGCGCGGTCGTTGCAAGAAAGCGGTATCTATTTGAAGAAACATCTTGTAGGAACTGTTCTGTTTTTCCCCTTGAATACAAAATGGCATTTTGAATATGTTTGAAATTATCAGGGTAAACTGCCGCTCAAATGGATGGCTCTCGAATCGATTATGTATCAAATCTACACGACAAACTCTGACGCATGGTCATTCGGAATAGTCGTTTGGGAGCTATTTTCGCTAGGAAAGGAACCATATCCTGGCATTGAGTGTGATGATAATTTCGAAAAAAAATTGATGAATGGTCACCGAATGGAAAAACCAAAATACTCCACACAGATGATGTTAGTAGACAATTGATTTAAAAAAAGACTTCTATTGGCGAAGGGAAAAATTATTGATGAAAATTCGTTGCAGCTTTGATGAACTGATGGTGCCTTGTTGGCGTTTATATCCTGAAACGCGACCATCATTCAATGATCTGGAACAAAGAATTTCCTACATTTTGCAAGATGCTACAGAACAACAGAATCAGTAGAAAATAATCAATAACGATGATAACGAACGAAAAGCCTTGGAATTTTTGTAATTTGTAGCGATTTGAATTTTATTTTATTTTGTCTTAGTCCGATAAAATGGATAGAAAGTTTACAGTGTAGGAATTGTTTCAAATTTTTCTGTTAATACACTTAAATTAGATGTGAATTTCTTAAACGATTGTTTTGTTTTTAGATAGTAATGTTTCGTCGAGTTATCAGGAGTAAGTGTATGCATGGTGTGATTGTGGAGGAGAAAGGGGAAAAAACCACAGAAACAATTACTTCGCGCTCATAATTGTGAATCTCTCTATAACATTGCAACAACGGAATATTATATAACCAGCCTATATCAACTACCGTTTCGTAAAGAGTTATATTAAATTGTTTGTGGATTATACAAATATTCCGATGCATTCAACGGGTTTCGTTCAAACTTTTCTTTTTAAAATGTATAAAATTTCATTCATTTTTTTTTGCTTTTTTGTTTATTCTAATGGAATTTCAAAATGTCTGAATCAACGTTATTATTTCTCATTTCACTATTTTCAATATACAAGTTTCGATAAATCGAATTGTATTGAGTAAACTTAATACAGATTTTTCATTTAACTAGAGAAAGGACGAAACATTTGGAATCCTCAAAACATATTGTTCACAGCTTTTGATTTAAATAAATATGCCATATAACACTACGCTTCTTCTTTTACATTTTACTCTTCTTTTTTTTCAAATATTTAGACTTGATTTTTGTTTCTTTGTTATTGGTTTGATTCGAAAAATAGCGATTTCTTACAGAAATTTTTGAATGAAGAAGAAACAACATAGATCGGCCTGCACAGCATTATCGATGGAATTGAAAATTTGTATTTATACATTACATATTTCATTTGTCGCCTAAAGTCCAAAGAAAAATATTAATGTAAAATCGAATTAAATGTAAAACGAAAAAAAAGAACAAATATCATATTTGATTATAATTTAAGCCGTGGCACTTGTTATATTAAACACCGGGCCAATCCGTAGGAATAAACGTCTAAGGACACTTCTAAGTTCTGGTTTCAAATCAAAGCAATTGATTTCACATAACAATAAATAATAACTAGATACGTGCGCAGCAAACTGAAATTTAGAGAGAAAATAAAGGCAAATTAGTGAAAAAAAGTCAATTTTTCAATGCATTTTTAAGAATTTTCGATTGATTTTTTTGGAAATTCCTTGAATCCAACAACTCACCCGTTGATCTGGCATTTTGATGATTCTAGTCAAAACAAGTAGCAATAATGAGGTCCATGCTTCGCGATGCGCTTCACTCTGCAACAGCATAAAGTATTCGAATGCTTCTTTGCAAACGGCAATCAGACGATTTTCAATGTCGGGCCAATCTCGTGATCTCGACTCGTCACAGTACATTTTCAGTAATATTCTCAGGACGCATGCCAATGATGTTGTTTCTTGTTTAAGTAAATTCGGTTTAACGGAACCCTTTAAGCCGGCACGCCACAAAATATTTCGTTGCTCATGATCGGAATTGAATCGTTTGGCAAATCGATGGCTATCCATCAAACATTCGATGAGTTGGAACAAATGCGTCGTATTCAAATAGCTGTACATTCCTTGTTCTTCGCGTTGGCATTCGGTTTGGCTCGACGTCATATTACCGGTTGCGTCAGCGGTGGCAAGTGCCAATGTTTCAGCATCCTCTTTCCGCGATGTCGTTGGAAAGAATACAATGCTATCGATTGTTTGAATCAATTCCAATTGAACGACACATTTGATTAGCAACGATGCAAAGACACTATTTTGCGAATGAAATACTTCCGATTTAACGTCTTCAGCGTTCAAACTATAGACTGAATGTTGTGAATTCGATCGCTTAAGAATACCATGGATTTGTTGGCTGTTGTTATTGTGTCGGATGTCACCATTTTCCATCGAATGATTTCGAACATTGTTTATGTGATCGGTGCTCGACGGTTTCCACGTGAGAAGCTCTTTTGGTAGCGTACAATTGAAAATATCCACCATACACTGGCACGTTTTATCCCAGGTGTCTTCGGTAAATTTCAGTCCATTCGAAATGACCAAATTTTCAAGGCAATTCGTTCCCGATCGTGCCAATTGTTCGTTGTTCTGTTGAACGCACCAGTGCAGTTGTGTGTATAAATTGCTCAACAGTAACGGTCCAAGAACATCAAAATACTGCGTAAACACATCGATAATTGCGTAAAGAGCATGATTGCACGTTGTTGTCATCCATTCCGCCTTTTCCGTTTGATGCTCTGGCAATTTCATATTATCGAATATGCGGAAGAGAATGTTGAACAAATCCTTCCACCAATTCGGTTTGAACGATTCGCCGTGAGTTTTTACGATTTCAAACAACACAGTCAAGCCTCGTGTACGCACATCCAATTTACAACGATTCACTACACACGACAAACTGAAGAGCATTGGAAACCATCCTCGCACCCAAACCCGGTCTTCTTCAGACACAGACACGTCGTTTTCCATGCCGGCATGCTCTGCAAAGAGATTGGGTGACTCGGACACACTGTGTGCACATGTTCTAACCAATCGTATTGCCTCCATGCTCGTGTCGGGAAATCGTGCATTGCAAGCAAATTCCGACAAACATTTGACCGCATCTTGGAACGAATCAATCATGATGTGGAATTGTTGCTTGTAGAGGTCAGTGATGATTTTGCCCGTAGTTTGGAATGCCAATTCGACGATACTCTCGTCCTGATCACCCGCCGCCAAATAGAACACACAGAAAATATTCTTCCAACCGGATCGAATGTTTGGCGCCTGTGAATTAACCATTTGAGCGACACATCGCACGACCATATCTCGAACGGTCGACGAACTGTTCTTTTTCATTATGTGTTCGAATGGTCGTAAGAAATCTTTTTGGAATCGGAAATTGGCGAATTCACCCTTCTCAATGAACTTCATCGAAAGTTGGCGCAATGAGTCAAGTGCAAAGTATGAAATCTCTTCGTTTGCATTGCAACCGACCATGTTAAAGTAATCGCCGAGCACTTGCCAAATACGTGACCATTGCAAACGAATACGGCCCATGTTATAGTACGAAATCTCAACGATTTTCTGCAATGAAAACATTCTCGGCTGTGCGCTATTCAGTTCATCAAGTGATACGTGGCACAAAGCCTTCACAAAATCAACGATTGCATCACCGTCCAACCGAATCGATCCGGTGAAAATCCGATCAACGGCTACAACAACACTCTGTGAACTGGTTTCACCGATGTGCTCTTTTACGCTCGGATCGAGCGCATCGCGATGTGTTGGACCGGAGAGGAACTGTGGACGCACGCCGGTTCCAATCATCTGCGCCAATTCTAACTGGGATATACATTTGACGATGTCAAGCCAACTGCTGCCAAGATAATTGCCATCCGTGTGAGCAACCATGATTAATGTCTTAATTGTGTCGATATTTTTCGCTTTCATTTCCGTCATCGGTGAATTGGCCGTTAGTAGTGTGAATCTGGCGAGTGCTTGTACGTAAGCATCTCGTTCAAGCGTCATATGGAATATACACGCCGTTCGAATAGCACACCGAATACCTTGAAAGAAGACGACGAAACCGAAAAACGATTAACTTCAAATTTGCCTATAAAATGAAAGTGAAAGTGAAAGTGAAAGGTCAACTTACCGTCCAAGCAGAGACTAGCGATTTCAGGGTCATCGCAATCTTGTAGACCAACCGAAAAGGCGGCTAAAAATGGTGTCCATGCCATTTTAAACATTGGACGCACGTGTTCTAGATGTTTAGCTGACGTAAACGGTGATTTCACATGTGACACGGATTCCATCAGATTTTTCGCCGTACTTGACATCGCCTCCATCTCCATGTTCCACAACAGTTTACGCTTCTTTTCGTTGGCTATAATTTGTTTACCCGGCTTATTGACTGTGTTCTTCATTTTGATTTCTTGGCCTGCAATCTCATCGTAAATCTGCGACAAATATTCTTCCGGCAAATCTTTGCTGTCGCTCACTCCTCGATTCAAATTGATATATTGCTCTTTTGTCATCTTATTCTTTACTTGTGGCGAATGCAAATCGGTCGTCAACATAATGACTGAGAATGCCAGCACATACACGGTATCGGCACTGGAGAACAGTGTCAAATTCGGATTGCATTCACAGTATCGACTAGCAAATTTTTCCATTAGACGATCGATCTTCTGCGCTTCGCCAGGCAAACGGAATCCTTCGAGGAAGTGTCGCAGGGCAGCTACAATATCCATATCAGCAAAATTCATTGCATCAATGTAGGCGCACATGACTCGCTTGCAATGCTCATCATTTTCTCCCAAATAATCGCCGATGAATGTTTTGTCGAGTCGTTCGTCGGACAGCAACCATTTGGCAACATCTTCCACGGTGGATCCAATTAATTTGTGTTCTTGCAAGAATTGAACGCCTTTCTTCGGTTTGCGGTTGAACATATCGATGCCGGTTTCCATGACTTCCTTGCGTTGCTTTCGTTCTTCCAGCTCTTCCGGTAAATCGAGCACTTCACGATTTATGGAGCTGCCCATCGAGTTGAGACTTTGACTCGAACCGCCAAGCGTTGATCGCAGTGGAGTGGTACCATTCTCATTTACATTGTTCGATTCATAGTTGTTCGCATTCGTGGCTTTGGTCGGTGGTTCTCCCAATGATGTTTGTGAGTTTGGATTCACATACAAATCTTTGCTCCATTCGACCATGCATTTTAGCACCGAGACAAGGCATTCCAAGCCACGAATTCGCATTGCTTTCTCTTCCATTGGCCGAATGCCAATCTCAATGGCCTGACGGCCTTGGGCAATTTTCGACAGATGATTCACCAAACGCTCCAGCAAATTAGCTGCCGATAAGTCACAATCGTAATTCACATAAATATCGACCACACTCTGGGCATCGCCACAAATTCTCGTTAAGGCTTGGATCACCATCCATTTGTGTTCGAATGATGATGTTGTGGCTTCCAAAATGTTCAAGAAAATCTCTTTGAAAAACACTTCAATCTGCTTTTTCAGATGCACTTTGAAGTTTGACAACAATGCCACAAAGATTGACAAGGAGAGTTCAAACACCTCTTTCACCGGGCTGACACCATTCTGTGATAGTGCAACGCATAAATACTGTTTGATTGCCATGATGAACATTTCATTCGATCGAAAAACGGGTCCGGCGTTCTGTAGAATGGACAGAAGCAAGTGTAGCGATAGGACTTTTGAGCGAAGTTCGTGCGATTTTTCGTCGATTATGCCATCGGGCAGCGGTTTCATTGAGAGTTTGCACAGCGCACGAAACACTAGGAATGCATCTTTTTGTAGAATATGTGTGAATTTGGCTGTAACAACATTATCATTTTCACTTTGAATTTCGACACTCTCCTGCGACGGTACACGATGAATGGATTCGAAACCCGGTTTCGGTGTCGTCGGCGTGGTCGGTTCAATCGACGATTTCGGTTCATCCAATTTGATCTCAGTCTCAGCTTGATTTGTCTCTTGAACTCCATCTGATTGTTCTGTAGCTGCCGTCATCGCCGTTTGTTTCACTTCATCATCGCCATTGGCTCGTAGTTTATTTTCCACTATTTGACATGCTTCGTCAATGATCTCATCTAAAACTTGTCGCATATAACTTTCGTTCGTCTCGCTGTCGGCGCTTTTCGTCGAATTTTGTTCGTTATTCGTGTCATCGTTGCGCAATTTATCGCTTGGATTCGGTTCGACGGGCGATAAAACTACCTGAATTTGCGTATTATTTGTATTATCGGACGCTTCCGAGTTCGTTTCAAATGCTTGGCTTTCCATTCGCGTGAAAATAACATTCAGCATTTGAGTGAGTGTTGCCCGTGCCGTGGTTTGATTTATCAAATTTTTACTTGATAAATAAATGTCATAGCAAGTGCGCACAGCCTGAAAAAAAGAAACAAAAATCAATAAGTAATTCTATGTCGTCTGTTGCTCATGGTTTCGTGTGAATCATGCTGTGCACATACCTGAAGCACATTCCCTTCGTGCACTTCGATATACTGTGATGTGACAACGGTTAAAAGTGCTTTAATAATCTGTAGTTCGACACCGTCGTCAGTTTGTGGCCCACTGAAGCAATTGCATATAGTTGAAACGATTCGATCGATAAGAAAACGACCCGGGCTCGATGAGTCCGGTATGTTTCCCGTCAAATGTCCGTATGCGATTAATTTTTGTAAGCAATCTAGGGCTGTGACTACGATGCGTGGCGTTTTACTTTGACACGCCAATTCAAATGGTAGAAAATACTTTTCTGCATTTATTACATTGTTGGAGTCATTTTTTGGCATCGGTAGGGCTGTCGATTGGCCATCTACCGCCTCAATATGACCACCATCTTTCAATTGCTTTATTTCACCTGGAATCGAGAAAAAATGCAGTCGTTGCGATTAGAAGAAACCGATTAATTGTTCGTTCACCTCGTGCATAATTGATTGTGTGACCTTATCAAGTGGGAGACTCAATATAAGCGATAAGAATTTGAGTGTACATGATGGATACAATAAATAGAAGAAGAGGAAGAAAAAAATTGTACGTACCGAGTGCTGACTCACAAGCCTTTTTCAACTGTGTATGATGCGATCGGGATATATCTTTGTCAGCTAATATTTGTTCGAGGGCACGTTCGATGAACGTCTTTTTTGCTATTTTTGTCGTATTATTCTGCATTGTGATTATTTTGTGTTGCTCTTTTCTCTCTCACTTTTCGTAATTGGGAACGTTCGAAGAAGGAAAAAACTGTATCTCTAAAAATAAAATGGAAGTAATCTTATCATCACCGTAAATGTTTGCTAAATTGACCATCACTTTCATTGAATTGATGCAAATTAGCATTTTGAAGTGAAACAACAAAAAAATCGATATTTTTTCCTTGTCAAACGATTCTCACGTATGTTTTGGATACACGTTCACCTCCTATGTGACGTGCCCAAAACATAATGTATTGTAGATTGTGTGTCAAAACTAATTTCATTTATTTTTCCACATCAATTTAACACTTACACAATGGATATCGGAATCGCACAAATTCGCTACAATTTTCGCTTATTTTTTAAATTACGACATCATTAAAAATGAAAGGTTTTTCCACAGAAGAAAATATTTTTTTTGTTACAATATTGCGACAACACACACACTAGTGTGTCTTGCTATGTCTTTGCTAGCACTGTCTCTTTTCATTACACACTACGATGTAAGTTGTATTTCTACTGCTTCTTCTTTTTCGCGTTCAGTGCGGATTGCACTTGCATGTTAAAAAATGAATGACGAAAACTATTGTCTGAATTAAGGTTATCACAGTCAAATAAAAATAACGAGAGAAGAAAATGAAACGTAAATCTTGACCACGCAATACAAAGTTTCTTGTTTGTTTGCCCCGAATCAAATGGTTGTTCACACAAAAAGGTTTTTTTTTTCGCTGTTCAAATGAAGTTTTTCGGTAAACAAAAACACCAACACAAGTCACACTCGGGTTTCATTCTAAAGTGATTTATTTTTTTTTTCTCTTCAAAGACTTTTGCTACTTTTCGCATATGTGTCACGATTCATGAAAATTTCTATTTGGAATACGATTTTCGTAGCAGCAATTGTCACGTCAAAGCCTATATGTCAAAACAGCCCAGTTTTCGAACTCACTGGCACATACACATGCACACACAAGCACACACCCATTGCTAATGACACATTCTACATTAATGACATTGGCTATACAAACAATTGCAATTCAACGCAGTAATTATTTTCAATATATTTGCAAAATTTTGCATTTTATTACCATTTGGAATAGAAATTCCATAGCAAATTAAAGTAATTAATTGGGTTCATTCGAAAATTCGACTTCGAAATGATTAAGCCACAACGCAAAAACACACACACACGGAATAAACATATACCCACCAGCTGAACGAACGTGTAAACGCAACCACTTTGACGTTTCTGCATATTGTTCATTGCATCGAACCGAACCTATTTTCAATGATTAATAACACACAAAGACGACATCGATAATTCATTTATTATTCCTTTTGTTTCGATAGAAAGTTTCGTTTTTGATTATTTAAGCGTCAAAATGTATCAAGATCAACCGCCATCGTATAATGAAGCAATTAATTCACCCATCACACCATCTGCACCACCTGGTTAGTAAATATTTGAAGAAATTTGTATTGAAAAAGGAAAAAAAGACCAATTAACAGTGTCTCCAGTACCCAATAGCTGACTGTGACTCATCACATCGTCTAACTAATTGGCATATTCATTTAAATTCGCATTTAAACAATTGACCATGACATTTTTTAACCAAGGTTTATGCGTGTCCAAACTTTTTTCGTATAATTTTAGTTGGTACGGGAATCGCACAGAGCTCAACTGCTGTGCCGGACAGTAGTTTTGCACCCATTTATCCCATTCAATCGTCGCCGATGCAAATGCAACCTGAGGTCATAGTAACAAAACCGATTCGACCTTTGCCCAACGCTGGATATGGAACTATAAGTCATTCAACTATCGCTGTGCCAACCGAGATAATTGTAATCAACGGTTGTCCAGTTTGCCGCATAGGTAGTTTTTAATACATATTAATTATTGTATTTATTCATTCTCAAAATCCAATTATTCTTTATTAATAAATCCGTATAGGCGTTTTAGAGGATGATTATACTTGCTTGGGCATCTGCTGCGCTATATTCTTCTTCCCCCTTGGAATTTTATGCTGCCTTGCCCTAAAAAATAAACGATGCACCAATTGTGGCGCTCAATTCTAATCGTCGTTATGATAATGAACCAAAAATCTTCAACGAATTCATAGAACCGGCAAACAATTTGGCGGCCAAATCATGTTTTACCATTCGAAATGCAATTCGCTTTTCTTGTACATACAAAATGGTGATATTTTGGGAATTTTTTCTTTTGACCAAAAAAAAAAACACAATATTTCCATGCTATAGAGTCCATTTTTCCAATCGAAATATTTGTTTAGTATTGATGTGTAGAATTGTGCATGCAATTGATATTACATACATAGCGCATGGTTACACATTTGCAGTTGAGCTACTGATTATATTACTGTATAGATAATAAGATTAGATTTAGGAGAAAGTTGTTGTTCAACATCGACGAACAGCCGAATTTGATTTATAAAACATTTCGAAGTGAGCAAAGGCGAAGAAATTGTAACACTGTTCGTCCGAATGAAAGAGAATAACATGTGTAATGTTTATATATCCTAACCGAACCGAATAAATGAACAAAAATGACAAGAAAAAAAGTTGGTGTTATTTTTGCTAGAATTTTTTTCAAATTTTTTCTTCTCTTCAAATTAATGTGTGTAATGATCTTCTTATCGACGTCAATTCCAATTGAAGAAACAATAAGTTCCACTTTCAATTCAAGTGTGACCAAACGTGCGTTTAGATAATTTTATTCAAGCATTCGATCGCATGCTAAAATGAGCAATTGAAGCGGTCACTCTGACTACAACTGTGATTTCGTACCGATATTACCGTTACGAATCTCTTTGAACTAGAGTAACCATATATCGTTCGATTCATCACGCTTAAATTGTAATAGTAGGAAATATTTCTATTGTTATTCAAGCAATTTTTGTTGTTACCATACGATGATATCATTGCAACCACCTCCTATTTCAATGGAAAAAAACAAAAAAAAACGAATTGCATTTTTTTGTTGATAAGATAGAGAATATTTATTTGTGGAGTTTTTGTGTGTCTGTTTTAAATCGCGAATAGCATAACAACGCATTAAAAACAGAGAAAGACAAATGATACGTTCGTAGACAATAATAAATCAGCATTGACCTTTATCGCTGAGAAAACAATCCCTAATCAATTTTTCCTTTGTGGAGTAAATCTCTATTTACATGAATAAATTCCTACGAAGTCTGATGACGTTATCTATTTATAGTAAACTCATTTAAAATGAAGTTTGTCTTTTTATTAAAATTAAAATTTGAATTCCGTTCAAAAACAAAAATTGAGTCAGTTTTGAATTCGAAATAATATCTCTTTTTTTCTTTTGAAATATATGACAAAAAAATTACACAAATTTTTAATACAATTTCTGCAAAATGTTGGAAAATTAAAAAAAAAATCCCGAAAAATCGGAATGGTTTAAAAAAAGAAATGATTAGGATTTTTTTCTTCTTTTCAAAAAAATGAAATAATTCTGAAACTTAGAATGATCAATTGATTTTATTTTATGTGTGTTTAATGATGGGAGAGGTTATTTGTAAACAGACATTCCTGGTGGCAATTCTATGGCCTTAACTAATTCTCTTTACATTTGAGGGGAATATAAAATCAACGTCGCGCTTTTGGCTATGTCGTACATCTCTGTGTTCCGGAATAGATTGCAGTTAGAATGGTTTAGCGCGCGCGCACTTGCTGTCATACAATCCCACTCTTCCTCTCACATTCGACAAAATTCTTCGAAGAACAACCTGTAAATCTAGTTTTATTCAAATTGAAAAGTAATTTACAATAAAATATTTATTAATCCCTTATGGGAGGGGTTATTTTTGTGTTAAACTGTTTTGTTTTTTTTGTGTGGAAAAACAAAAGCTCATCATTGTTACTTGTGGGTGAAGGGGAGGAAATGGGCTGGATATTTCACAAAATAATATAAACATTCAAAACGATAACAACGAAAAGAAAAAGGTAAAAGAATATCAACATCATTTATGGAAATCACTTATCAAATAAACCACTTTAAATTGAAATTCTCGTCTTTTTTTTCTGTTGGTGTTTCAATTATCGATGTGAATTAGTTTTTTGTTTGCTTGCTTGAATTGAATTGATTGTGAATGATGTGTGTCCATTCGTAATTTCTGCGGTGAACACTTTTGAGTTCGTCGATCAAACATGATTCGGGTTGAAAAATGTTCATTTTTGTATCACAATTATGGTACCACCATCACAGTTCCATCGATCGGTTGATTTTTCAGCACACAATATTTTTACAGATTTTTATTTACACAAAATTTGAAACGGTGTTTTGATTAGGATTATCGACTTTTTGGTTGAATTTTTGTTTATATTTGATTGATTTTAAACTGGTTATTTGTTGTGATGAATTGAATTTCGTGCATTTTGTTTCATAAATGATGCTGAAGTACGTATAACGTGCAAAGATATTCGCCGTATTTGATCAGTTTTCAGTGAGGTCGACTGCACAGTGCACACAACGTTTTTGTGCGCAACATAGTTATCATCAAGTGTTATCATTTAATTCATCACTCGATCTCGGTACAACGGACGTTGATCTGTGCTCGCACAGAAACCAAATTCTCCGTTTATTCAATTCCTCAATTGAAAATCGTTTTCGTCTCTTAACTGAAGTGGGCATTTCGCGTGATAAATTGTGGATAGCATTCGTCACAGCTATTTGCTCAATCAAATGACGAATTTATCGTTAAAACGGTTCTATGCTTGCTTAATATGTCTTTGTTTGTCGTTCATCTCGAGTAAACAAGTGCCAAGTCAGTGCTTTTGCTCAACAACAGAGGCAGACCCTCGAATGCGATGATGTGGTGAAGCTTAATTTTAATCTCCTCGCCGTGACTGTACTCTCCTTATCCCACTTCTGCAGTCGATATCGATACGATACAACTTACTGCTCCCATATTGTGAATGGAATTTCGTTTATTCCACGCAATCATTTGTTTTTTTTCTCTCGAGAAATTAACTTAGATTTCAACGCGAACTTAAAATTAACACATTTGGAATGAAACACTCAAACAAAATTTCGAAATCTTGATCAAGTCTTTTCTTTTATACCGGATCTTTCGAGACTATTTGGTGGTGGTATGAAATTATGAAACTCAATGTCCGATGAAATTATTCTAGTTGAAAAATGGCGTAAAAATAACTTTTTTTTAAACTTCAATTCACAATTGGAGAGGCCGATGTATGAAATATCGTTGAAATAGTGTCTTTCGTATGCAACAATTTCAATTGGCAACAACTATTAAATTCACAAAATACACCGAATAGAGTTCATTGGATGCGAAAAAATGAATTTGTTGGAAATCTATAGAAAACTGCCGACGTCGAACACTGTCATGTTCTATGCTATCGATGTTTAACTTATGTGAAATGTCTTTTTTTCTTGGAATAATGAGGAAGCATTTTCTTCCAGACTCTCTAACTTCAAAATCACATCACTAAGAGCAACGCGCAACTATTCCCAGGCGATATTGAGTATTTTTGAAAATTAAAATTGGTTAGGTACTCAAGATGAAAATAGAGTTGGTCGATGATTCGTCGTTCGTTGGCAAGCATATTTTTTAGACAATGTTAGGGATAGCAACTGAGGCACTTGTTTTACAGTCAATGGTTGTGTTGTCGGTAAATGCCACTTGATACGGCGTCATCCATTCAACACACTTTTCAGGCGATTCAAATGCCAGCGTTTTTGCGACTGATTCGACTGGATAATTTGGGCGATAACTATTTATTGGTTGTTGTTTTTTTTTGGAGGAAAAGAAAAGTTTCGAAATAATTATTAAATGGAAATTCCAAACAACAAACAATATGGAGATAGAGAGATAATAATAATATTTGACTCTTTGGTTACGTACGCTTTGATAATATTTTTAAGGGCAATTTTGCGTTCTCTGTCAATGAACCAATTTATCAAATGACGTGCACTTTTCGGTGCCGTTTTGTATAAATTGAAAAATTTCACATAGTTTCCCAATGCCCATGCAGAACGCAATTTCAATGCGTGTGCGATACACTCATCATCTCGATCACTATTCGTCAAGGATTTAAGGATGGTGGTTAAATCTGTGAACAGAAAATATTTGTATTTGGATTTTTTTCTCGAAAAGTAAAAAAAATGATCAAAAAAATATTTGGTAAACAATTTTGTAAAAAAAAAGTCAAAATGTACACTCACCCAAGGTATTTTTCGTAAAAATGTAGTACAAAATACGATACGCTGTGAATTCGAGACGATTTTGTCCGCCAAGATCTGCGTACAACATTTTCAGCTGTGTTTGACACTGATTGAATTCTTCATGGTCACCTTTCTCCATGGCAATGCGTGCATGGGTTTCATACACTTGAATTGTGAACTCATTTCGAATGCCTTGTACCTGTTTTCGAATGGAATTGCAGGAAAAAATGCATCAAAAAATTGAATCAATAGGCTGAAATGTCCCATTTAGAGAGCACTTTGTTTACTCCGAAATGAAAAACTTACCGTTAGATCTTGTCGGATGGATTTGAGTTGATCGCACGCATAGTAATAGTCTTGTTTCTCCGTCCATTTAGACTTGGCGTTGGCCAGTGAAAAAACGAGAACTTCTTCCGGTCGAACTTCGTGCGCTTCTGGCGCTTTTGTGAGTCGCAAAAATGACTTTTCCACGTCACGGCACGTGCCGACAATGTGGAAATCGATCAAATCAAAGTTGTTATCCGCATTATCGTCGACATACAAACGGCTTTGCACTGGCATGTGCTTCTTCTTCTTACTACTGACCACTGAAACATGCGACGTTGACGCTTTCTTCTCCGTAAATCTGGCGGCGCGCTGTTGCAATCGTTCGGCATCGCTAACAATATCACCGCCCAATGTTCCAAACTTTTTGTTGTTGTCCTTTTTATTCTTGTTCTTCTTCTTTGATGCATTACTTTGTTGTAAGCTAACAGCGACTGTTCCAAGGCGAGAGCCCAATTTCTTGTTACTTGGTTTCGTAAAACTTTTGTATTCGTCCGAACTGGATGACGACGAGCTTGATGTCCGGCGTGATTTCCGTTGTGGACTACGCGAACGGTCACTTCGGCTGCTGCTTGTGCTACGACGCTTCCGACTCGAAGATGTGTATGGTGAACGTGAACGCGAACGACTGGACCGTTTGTTTCTGCGATTACCTAATCTCATACCTAAACTTTGTGACAGTCCTTTTTTCGGTGTATTCGTTACGGATTTATTCTGGTAGCTAGCCAATTGACCGGGCACACCTTGATTTGGCTGCTTCGGAATCACTACATTGTTGCGTTCACTGTGAACACTTGGCGTTGGTTCATTGTCCCAGTCTTTGGTCATCAATTCACCGTGGGTCGCTGCTTGTGTGATTCGTCCTTTGAGACAAATTTGAATTTGATCTTTGTCAAAGTCGGTCTGGCACTTGGCATAGCAACGTTCAACATATCGACTCAGACTCTCGGGCCATATATCAGTCGGATCATCGTATGGATTTGGCTTTTTGACAGCGGGACTAGAGGCTGATGGGATGGGGCTGGTTTGATTTGAAAGGGAAGGGGGAGTTGATGGCAAGGGAAGGGTTTGAATTTGTGGTTTTTGAGAAAAAGGGTTTGTAAAAGCCGGAGGAGGTTTTGTCAAATCGGGAGTAACTTGAGGGGAAAGTGCTAAAGTTGATGGAGGAGGAATGCCCATCGGTGGAGGGATGCTCGTGTTAAGGAAATTCGAACTATTCATCATTGACCCATTTGGTGACTGATTATGTTGCAGATTTTGCTTATTCTTGTTCTTCTTTCGCTTCTTCTTTGCATTTCCATTGTTTCCATTGTTGCCTTGGTGCTGCTGCTGCTGCTGCTGCATTTGTTGTTGATGTTGATTGTTGATTCCGATGACGTTGTTTGTTAAGGGGCTGCTTTGTAAGCGCTTCTGATTCAAATTGAATCGGATGCCACCAAACTGCTTGGAATTGTTCTGAGGCGATTGATTACCGTAGAAACTAGGCGGTGGTGGTACTTCGATGTCCATTAACGTTGGATGTGATAACATTGGCGGCGGTGGCGGTATCAACACATTACCAAATCCGGGCGGTGCATTATTCTGCTGTTTGGCCAATTGCTCTAAGGCATACTTTTGTACATGATTTTGATACGCACTGTATTGTTGGTCTTGTTGCTTTTTCACTATCGATGCGGCCAAATTGTAGATCTGATCGTAGCTGTATGGAGCAGCAGCCCATGGATTCGCTGACGATCCACCGTTAGTGCCAACGCACTCATTCATATTCTCTCCCATTTCGTCAAACGCGCGCGTGTGTGTGCTTTTGTTTTGTAGATGACTTACCTTTGTCCTAATTTTTTTCTTTTCAACACACTTAATCAACGATAAATAATAAAACTCTACCCCAAATTCCGAAGTCTTCTGCAAAATACACAGAGAAAAAATATTGCATAATCACTATTAGGTATTGAGCTAGAATTCGTTGCGATTATTTCACAGTTTTATGCAACAAAAATGACTACTTTGATTTTTCATTGATGCACGAGAAATTTCTATTACGAAAAAAAAGAAAATGGCGTCGCAAAAATACATCAAGGTTGCCCTGAATATTTTTTTGGGAAATCTTTTTTTTTTGCTCATCAATACTTACAGATTAATACGAAAAAATTTAGTTGATTTTTATCCGCTGCAATTCACTGATTCACTTTATTTGTATTTAACCAGCTGAAATTTGATAACAATTTATTTATTAAAATTTTAGAAGAAAAATTTCACTGCTTTTTTAATGGCATTCCATTGAAACATGTTGTGAAAATGAGTTCATCATATTCTTCTTTGTGGTCGATACCAGATGGATGACTTTTTTTAGCATTGTAACGTTGGACATCATGAAGTAACTATTGACAGTCACTTTTTCGGTCGGTATGTCAGATTCGGATATGAAAATTGCGCCTTATTTGTGAAACGTGAGGTAAATTAAAGAGAATAAAGTCGTTTCCTAATTTAAGCATGAATATTTTTTCAAAATAAATTTAAATCTTTCAAAATATATTTAAAAACGTTCTAAAACTACCAGAATCGTTTATAATTTCATTACATATCGACTAGTTTAATGTAAAAACATAGAATCTGTACGAAAATTCTATTCTGACAATTCACATCTTTCGTTTGTCAAATGATGAAAACAAAGAACCTAACCTCAATTCATATAGTAAACAGATGCAGTGTGAGCGGATTCAAAACCTCGATTCTGAAAATTAACACTAAAGATAAATAAATTCAAATGTAGAAAAAACCCAGTGAAAAAAAACATGTCGATATTAATCAAAAGTTTACAACGACTGAAAATAATCGTCGATCACCGTCAATCGTTTAATATTTTTCGATCGTATAGTTTCACATTCAATGAACAATTTACCTACAATGAGCAAAATTACATGCGAAAGGTGCTGAAAAGAACCAGTGGCTGTATTTTATTTGATCCATCAAAGAATTTGAAATATCTCGTGTCGCCAAAAGAATTTAGTGAAGGGAATCAAACGATGTTCAATCTCGTATCAGCTGTGAAAAAAGTGAATACTCATCATCGGTCGGATTTGGAATACAGTCAGAAATTGTTGGCCCCATTGAATGATCAGTGTTTGGAGAATTATAAAGCATGGCCAATCAATGAGCAGCTCTTTGCATTGGATGTTTGGCATTTTGTGAGAGGCGGCAAAGATTTTCCATTTTTCGAAGCAGTTCTTACCAATTTTCTGAAAGCGTTCTATGGCCTAGAGGATGGGCCTGCATTACAAACTATGTATTATGTGGCACGATCAAAACGACAATTGCAACCGAACGAAGAAGTGGTGGTCACGAAAAAGTTGGAAGAAATCATCAGTAGTTTAACGCTGGACGAAATTTCCATTTATTGTTTAGCGTTAGTCAAAAGCGGATGTCAAGTGGATAGCGTGAGCCTAGTAAAATCATTGTATGAATCTTTAATGAAGAGTGATTTACGGCATCACGATGACATTGGTGTGACTGGTGTTGTGAAAGCCGTTCGACGATTCTCAACCACCGATCAATTACCCGAATTGAAAGACCTTCAGAACAAACTTGTGCCATTTGCCGAGCAAGCTAGCCTACTAGCCCTCACACACATCATTCAATTGGGTGCTAAACAACGTGTTTTCAATGCACAACTTATCGATGTGATCATCAGACGATTCTTACAGAACTTGGACAATTTACGAATCAAAGATGTGGAACGAGCACTGTTGGCAATTTCAACGTTCAATCACAAAACCAACAATGGCATTGACAAACAGTTTTGTGACCAGGCTCAAGTGTATTTACTCATGTCACTTGATACTAAATTCGCGGACTCGTTGATCCGGTGCATTTCATATTTAGCGGTTTTCGGCGTTGTAGATGCAAGACTAATTGACTGGGCATTGAGTCCGGAAGTACATGCGCATGTGTATGGCGAATCGATTAGTGCTGATGAACATGCATTATTGCTGATTGATTCATATGCAAAGATCAATTTGGCACACACCTATACGGGGAATAGGTTGCCGGAGAGTTTGTGCGCTGAACTGATGTTAAAAGTATGCGAAGCTGAGGTTGCCGGTCAAAAATCAGAATTGGCAAATGAAATCAGTGATGTGCTTAGGACGAATGGAATTCATTGCATATCATCTAGACCAATTCCACATGTTCCATTCCCCGACATATTTCTTGTTTACAACAAACGAACGCACAAAGCGATTAGCATCTTGAATGCGAACGCTGATGGAACCATACTCGATGCTAACAGTCTATACAAAAACAATCCAAACCTAGAGGCAATCGCAATAATTCCATGCTTGCAACGTCAACTGGTATTTAATACAAATCGCTACAATGGCCAATTTCAGCTCCGATTAGATCAACTGCGGATGTTAGGATTCAAAACGATTGTGATAAAAAAGACAATTTGGAACTGCTATAAATCTCCAGAAGCGAAGCGCAGATACTTAGCCCTGGAACTCTGTAGAAATGACGTATTTTTGCTGAATAAAGTTGTAAATTTCGTGTTCAAATCGAAACCAGGAGAATAACTACTAGACTGTTGGATAAATGTTCAATTGACTTTTTATTCCTTTGAATCAAATTGTTTAACAATCAAAATGAAGAAAAAAATTAAACTTGTTTAGTAATAAATTGGAATATTCTTTTCCGAAAACAAAAAGTCTACTCAATTCATTGTGTCTGTGTGTATTTTCAATTGTTTTTGTTTAGCCATATTTTTTTCTCAGGTGAATAAATAAACTGTGTGAAACTTACGTCGCTATGATGTGATTATGGAATTTGTACAATAATATAATAGTAATTTCTTAACTACAAATTGCATCCAAGCCGTTCGATTTCGTCAATAAAATGGAGCATGTCATCCCTATTTAAAGCTGAGTTTTGCAGTACCAGACGAAAGAAATTCGGTTTCAATCCCAACGGTTGATAGGTGATCATCATGTTGCCCTCTTTCATCATACGCTCTTTAATTTTCGGCGCCACTTTGTGGATTTTCTCATTGAATTCCGCACTGTCGACCGGTATATTTTGAAGGCTTGGCGGCACATACCAGAAAGATATATTCGTACACTCTGGCTGATCGAGCACCAACACAAAATCAGAACGTGCTTTAATTTGTTCCGTAAAGTATTCTGCATTGTCGAAATTCTTGTTGACGTGTGCCTCAAGTCCATTGGTACCTTTGGCCCGCCACATGAACCAGAATTTCAATACGTCCGCACGTCTACCGCTGTGAATTATAATGGTAGTTTAGTATATGTGGATTATCATATCCCATTATTCATATAAGGAAAAACTGTCAATACCATTGAATGTGCTTATCGCCCGTGTCGTACTGTGTGTCGTAAAACTTGTCTTTTTGAAACAAATATGTTGCATTTGTTTCATGCGCATGCTGCAGAATTCCTTCGTGTCTCGTCAAAAACGTTGAGCATTGTTGCGGCACTGACAATAGCTTGTGTGGATTCCATGTCACCGAGTCGGCTCTAGAGTGATGCATCGGGAATAAAACAAAATTTTCTGTGTGTTAAACATGATTCATAATGTAGGATTTATTCTAAAAAAAAAACCCAAAGACTACGATCCGGTGTGGTTGATATATTTTTTATTGAATTGCAATATTCCTCTTTCACCGGAAAATATGTCATGCGTCGGTTCACAATAAAACCACGGTTTAATATATACGTTCGCCTTCCTATTCAACCGTTTTTCAACTGTTCCTATTCCAACAACGGTTATACGGGTATTAGCATGTGTGCATGAGCCATGCTCGTGTCTTGTAATACATGTGTACACCTTGTCCTTCAATCACTCTTAATAGTCACAAGTGCGTTACATACGTCATTGCATTTCATAGCGTACACAATTGTGATTGTACCGTTTATATCGAGAGAGTGCCGTTGACCGTTGCATACGATTCACTTTTCAATAATAGGAATTTACGAACGAACAACAACAACAATAATAACAAAATAAGCATTCATAGTGAGACTAACCGTTCGATTCCTTTGACGAGATTTCGATATTTTTGCGATAACATTACACCACCGCCCCAAGCTGCGTCAACATGTAGCCACATGTTGTGCTTTTTGCACACATCAGCAATCTGATCGATTGGATCGAATGCACCCAAAACGGTGGTGCCCGCCGTGGCAACCACTAAAAATGGCATTGCACCCTCGGTTTTGGCCCGAAGCACCTCACTTTCCAAATGCTCTATGTTCATTTTACCACGACTGCATGTCTTCACTTTGTACACATTATCTGAACCAAATCCCATGAATGACGCCAACTTCCTAGATGAATAATGAGCGTCTTCGGATGTAAACATAACCAATCGCGGCAACGCCGCAAGCCCCTTAGTCTAAATAAAAAAAGAATGTTTAAAATTCACCGAAAAAAATCTGTTCAATTATAGGTAATGTGCACAGCCGTCCTCGTTTCGGGAGGATAGTCCTCGTTTTTTGATAGCGGTCCCCGAAGATTTTTGAAATTAATCAAAATGTTCTCGTTTTTTCCGGGGAGAAAATTTCAAAAGGTAATTTAAAAAAAATATGAGAGACAAATTAAGTCCACATTCAAAAATTCTTCAATCATGAATAGCTCGATTTGAATCACACATTGTTTCGTTTATATCAGCTTTCTTGGACTTTATATTAATGGCTCAGTAACACTGACAAAAATAAACTGTCTCCATCCGATTTTAATCTCTATTTCGATCACTTAAAATAAAAACTGGTGACAGTTCTTTCTAGAATGTTAACAGTAAGCGATAATGAATTTGAATCACTCCAAATTAGATAAATTCAATACCCTACTGATTGGATTTGCTTGGCAATGCAAGTCACATAGAAATATTGGTGGAAACAGCAGGATGAAATGCTTCGCTTGATAGAATGATTGTTTATCAAAATAAAAAAAAATGGATCGGCAAATTTAACGAAAAACATGAAATATTTATATTATAACTCATAATTTTGAACTATATTTCTCTTATTTTGTCATTAATTTTAAATTTAACTTTAACGAGGAAAATCTGTGCACATTAATTATAGACAAGTGAAGTTTTTTTTTACTTTGACTTCGGGCGCGTATTTGAAACGAGCACAACTGATGCCGTATCCATTGGAAATAGAGCCACCAGGTGAAAATAGGCCGTCTCCGTTGCCATTCTCCCAGCCGACAAACGTTCGCATTTCACGCAAAACCACCTCTTCCATCAGAATAAACACGGGTGACACTTCGTAGGTGTAAACACTTGGGTTCAATGCATCGGTCAACCATTGGCCGATTAATGCATATGGGTCCACACATGAAAACAGCTGATTCACAAAATATGGATGGCCCGTTTTCACCGAGTAGCGAATCGTTTTGCGCAGTAAATCCATTAGTGTTTGGTCGGAATCACTCTCAGCTTTCAATGACATATCAAACAACTTGGCCAATTCATTCGGTTGCTTCCATTCCAAAACCTTATTCTCTCGTCGAATATCCTCAAACACGGCCGTCGACAGAATTTCATCGACACAATCGCGTAAAAATCTCTCATGCAACGAACGATTTGGTAAAGATTCGAAACGTTCACTCATTTCATTCGATTTATTGTTGTAAAATAACGGCGGTGTTAGGATCCGATTTTTATTCACTTGATCCATTGTCGACGATATTATATCATCAACCGAGAGATCGGTCGAATGTTCTGAATCCGATGCTATATTCAACGACATTTTTTTTTTGAAAATAAATTAACTGAAACTGTTGGCTTTCTCTCTTCCACACACAAACAAAATAAATTCGGAATATTAACTTTATTTTCACTAGAATTATTCAACTAAATGCCACTTCGAAATGTATTCATAACGGTCAACTGAAAATTTTATTTCTCGAGACAAAAAAAAATTCGCGCTGAGAAAACTTTTGGCTATGCACTTTACTGTATGCGATGCCACTTGTCCGACCAAATCAAACGAGCAACTGCGATTCAGCTAAATAGGTTTCGTGTTTTTAAATACTCGCTGGTCGTTATAAGTCTTGTACGTGTGTACTTTAAAAAAAAGCAGCAGCAGAGTATATACACGGTCTTTTGGTTTTTGTTTATACAAAACAGTCAAGGCTTTTTCTCGAAGTGCGCGCAATGATCGGTTCGGTTCGTATAAAATAGTTTGCGCGAATTTTGATTGATATGTTCGTGTGCGCGCGTGTGCCAACATCTATACGTAAAAATAAGGTGCTTCGAGTGCGATTTTTGTGATTGCCCATTGCATATACATATATCGGCCTGTTCTTTTTTCTACGTTTCATGAACAACAGTGAACAAACAAAAAAATCTATACATACAAACAATGCACTCATTTTTGATATGTTTCCAGCGAAAATATTGAATGCATTGTATGAATTTACAGGATGGAATTGCGGCTCATAACACACACACACACACACACACACACACACACACCGCACACAGAGTATTATTCAACACAAATTCACGCAATGATTTTCAGTTGTGTATGCGTGTGGTGCGAGTGCATGTTAAAGTACAATTCACTGTATGATATTGACTATGCTTTAACGATTCAATGGTATGGTCAATATTTTTTTTTGTTCTCTGTGTCGTTTTCTGTGTACAGACCTGATTTACTAGCCACAACGAATTAGCTAATTACAGTTAAAACAAAGCACTTACAGAATTTAATGGATTTAGCAGAGCGGAGATTGTTTTCAATTAAAATCAACTCGATTTGGAAGACCTTGTGGAAATGAGTTTAATATTTTTCAACAAAAAAAGCGTGCAACTTTGTTCTGGCCGACCACCAACATCGTTTCTTACCTTCCGAATTGACTTCATTCTCTCTCTCTCTCTCTCTCTCTCTCAATTGCTGCGTATTATTTGGATTGTTTCCATCCTCATCGCAATGTATGCACTATGACAAATTAAATCAATTTTGCAATCCGGAATCGGAAGCATTGTCTATTGCAAACAATTTGGTTTTTGGAAAACATAGATTTTGGTGGAAAAAAAAGAACAAGGAAGAGAACATTTCAATTTATTTAATCAACTGAATAATTGAGTTTGATTGAACGAGTGCATGTGAATAGCAATGAAAATGAGACGATGACATGACTTGTCATAATGCAAAATACCTGACAATGGCGCGTGTGGTTTACTCATTCATAAAATTTTTCCCATGTCTTTTTTTTCTTTGACTTTGGTTAATTGATCAACGAATTTGATTGCACTTTTCATTCGCATGTTATTGCAGCCACTTCATTTGTTTCTACAAATTTCCTAGTACGTGTCCGTAATGCCAAACATGTGCCAAAAATTGAGGCGAGTCAAGTTCATGGGCGCAACAAATCAGCTGTTAGTGGAGCCAACGCTCTGTCAGTTAATGTGAGTAATGAATATGAATTTATTTTGGCACCTTGCAAGTGCCGTGGGAATTTAATAAAAAAAATCGGTGAACATTGTCGCATAGACATTTATAGACATTGGGAAAGAAGAGCTGAATAAATCAATGTTTTAATTGGAAGCAAAAAAAAGAGCTTGGTGTAATTTTCTGTTTTCTATCGCACTCTTGCGCCCAATTAAAATTAACATGTGTATTTATTTTTAGTTACGATTTATTTTTTTGTTTCTCGCTCCTCTGTGATGCCTAGAGATTTATATGTCTGCCATCATCATATCGTTCGTACAGCAATCGATTTTGAATGCAAGAATGCATTTTGTTTGTCGATTTGGTAAATGAAACGCGAATCTTGACGGATTGAATTGGCATCGCATCAAAGAATTTGCCGCACTTTGGGAATTCATATTTGATTTGTTAGCTATGCATTCGATTTGCACTTTGTCCATTTGAAAATTTCGTCAAAGGGACATTTCTGAACACATGCGATGAAAATCGGAATCGCAAACGACCATTTGAAGACTAAACAATATCGAAACGAACTTCAATTTATGATGGTGTAACGTATTTTATCAACGGTGCGATTTTTATCATTTTGAATTGTTTTTTTAAAGACTTAATCATTCTGAATTGATTTAATCACGTTATTACAAACGTGAGTTAAATGTAAATCGAAATAAGGTTGATGCAAAATTTCTCTGGATTGCATTACAAATGCAAAAAAAGCATTAACGCCTATGACATAAAAAGTAGATAAAACACGCGATAATTCTGCATTTTGGCCCACATTCAATAATAATTTATTCGGATTTTTTCGAAATAAACTTGAATTATTTTATTCTAATAAAAGTACGGCACAAACCAAACCATATTTAGCTTAATTCTCTAGCCATTTTTTGTAGCTTACGTCATTATATAATTGTAAATCTAAAAATGATAGTTAAAAATGGTAATCTCACTCCATGCAATTTGGTTTGGAGAAATCGATCAAAATTTGGCACAACTCAGCTGCAAAACCTCACTTCGAAAAATCAAAATTTAGATTTATAATAAAAGTAGCAAACGAATCGCAATGCAAAAACGAAAAATTCCAATCAAGGGTTTATTAAGAATTATTTTTTTTTTCGCATTCGTGATCGTATTTATCTCGTTTTTTGGGATCCGAAAGAATTTCATGGGCAACGTTAATTTTTTTGAATAGCTCTTGCTGTTCGATTTTCTCATTGCTTGGAGCCTTATCTGGGTGATGAATCAAGGCCAGGCGCCTGTATGCCTTTTTAATTTCCGCTTTAGGAGCTGTCTTTTCGATTTCCAATATATCGTAATAGTTATCGGACTGAAAGCGTTGCACATACCTCGAGCATGCTTTTGTATCTTTGCCAAAAATGGTTCTGTACTAAGCTGAAAAAACTTAGCTAACAATTTAAAATACATTGCGCCCCGCAAGCCATCTAGATGGCGCCACAAGAAAATTTGGTTCTTATACGAGGTGTATGCTCAAGATATGGCGTTGCAGCGCTTGTTTTGCTTCTGCTAATTTATTTTGTAATTCTTTGATTTTTCCATGTTTAGCAGTGCTTCGTAATCGGTGACTGCATTTTGAAATCTTCTCATCGTCATGTAGCAATCGGCACGAAGTCGCAAACACTTTGTCACGGCCCAACTGTTCTTCATTGCTCTTGTGCAATCTTTGATTGCGTCACGAAACAGTCCCATCTTTGAAAATGCAAATGCACGATTGAACAATAATTTCAAGAAAAAGTTACTGTTAACTGGACTGATCTCAAGCGCTTCACTGATCTGTGTACTGACTGCGCGATAATTTTCTTCGTGCAATAATTTATTGGCTATGGAAAAAATGGAATAAATATCAGTATCATAATTGGATATTTATGATTTTTTTAAATGGTTTTTTAATTGGAAAATATGGAATCGGAAAACATTACCGGTTTTCTCTTTCTCTTGGAACTTTCGTATTTTGACTATCATAGCCTTTGCTTTGCTGTGATCAGGATCCAAACGAATCACATTTTCCAAACACTTTAGCCCTTGCTCCCAATCCTCTTGATACAAACACAATGCACGGATATATACAGCTTCAGCACTCGATGAATCAGATTTCATGCAGGATACAGCAATAACATTAGCTTCCTATAAGGAAATATTTTATATGAAAATATATACCAAACTTGTATCAATTTAGAGCAATTAGATTTGTTTTTTTTAACCTTTAACCCGTGAAATGGGCATTTTATGCCCAAGACCAACTTTCAATGCTTACACCTTTATTATTTTTTATGATCAAAATTTGGGAGAGGAAATTGAGTAGGGTTTCATTTGGCGTGTAATAGTGTCAGAGAATCATTTCAGCATAGAGCCACAGTGTGGCGAATACTTACTCTTTGTTTCTTGGAATTGTTGTTCCTTCTTCTTTTTCCTCAAACAAATTGGTTGGCAGCACAAACAGAAGCAAAAAAATCACATTCGAAAGATAAACAAAACAATATTTGATTATTTTGTTGTTGTGTTTAGTTATAGAATTTTATTTTTTTACTTGTGTTTGTGCTGCCAACCAATTTGTTAGAAAAAAAAGAAGAAGGAACAACAATTCCAAGAAACAAAGATTAAGTGTTCACCACACTGACACTGTATCAAGAGACGTTCACTCTCATCGTTCACAACGACATATTTCGTTCGTCTCTCCTCTCTTCTCTCCTTTCGCACGTACACTCACTCCGATTGTGTGTAAACCAATGTATATGCATGTCCGTGCTTGAATGTAGAGCGCTAATTTACTCACAGCGACGTTCGCAGTCACTGCATTCAGTTACTGAGATCTCATGAGAAAATTGAATATCTATGCTGAAATGATTCTCTGAATAGTGTATAAGATATTCGTGGGAGGCGATGGTAAATATAAGGAGGAAGTATAATATTCTTGAGATTTACATAAAAATAATTGGTTCAAATAAACTGAAAGCCGTTCGGTGGAAGGTAGTGTTAGAATAAACCAACATACGAGCAGTCTTACATACAAACCCGTGTGCAAATAAAATGACTTACAGTCACTCAGTTGTATGTAACTGTATGTAGTGATTGAAATCATGCGTTTTGTATGGAGACAATCACGTTTAGTTATTCTTTCAGTCAGCCGACTAATTTGGGACATTTTGACTAAGAGTGATTTGTGATTAAAGTTAACTGCAGTTGCTTATTTTGTTCGAGACAATCACTTTTAGTCAGTCAAAATGTCCCAAATTAATCGACTGCTAATAATTTGTTTTTTAATTTCAATAAAACAATATCGAAATAATGTTCAAAGATTCTAACAAATTATTTCAGATGTAACCGAAAATGAAAAGTATGAAAATTTTAATTACTTTGAAGCGATTAAGCGATACTAAAATGTCTCCTTTCAGCAACTTCAAATCAGGACTTTCATACGCTATTTTCAATGCCTCATCGATATGGAAAACTAGAACGTGTATAAATGTGGATAAAGGGATTAATACTTCATTTCGTGTTGATTTAATGAATGAATCTGCTGTTACGTGCGGATTCAAAGTTGCCCTTTTTGCAGCATGTAATAGCCTTTTCTCTAAGTCGTTTCAAGTCATAGCATTTTCCCTTATGTTCTTGGATAGTGTCATAGTTTTAGCCAGCTTCCACACATTTCTGAATAGCTCTTTCTGTACCAAAAATATCGCCGATAATCAAGCAACAATTGATCATACGGTCATAATCCTTGAAAAACGTGTTATCGAGCTTAACAGCAGTCTGACAGTCTTCAATCGCCGCCTTATAGTCTTTTAACTTTATGTAACATTCAATGCGATCCTTGTAGAATGAAACATTTTGCGGCCACAACGTGATTGCGTCCCCGTAAAGTATCAACGCTGCTCGAAATTGATTTGCCATATATTTCTCATCACCGTAACATTTTTGTTTTTCAGCCTTCTCATGATTCAACAATACGTTCAAATTGCGCACTTTCGAAGTCATCATTTCAAATTGTTGTAGATTGTTGATAACTGCCCCTTTTTGCAACAATGTCTCATAATCCAACATCGCTTCTCTGAAATTGTCAAGGTATTCATGACATTTTGCACGTAAGAGTAAGGCATCGACGTTATCTTGCCAAATACCCAGCGCGCTGGTACAATCTTGGATTGCATTATAAAAATTGCCGATTTTTGATTGCGCCTTAGCTCGACTGTATTGCAATACACAAACAAATGAATTTTTAGGCATATCTCCATCGAGTGCCTCTGTGTACAATTCGATAGCCTGGCGGAATTTTCGAGCTGCAAACATATCATCACCTAAATGATAAATTACCAAATTCTTTTATTTTGATGACAATTTTGCAACATGAATTTTATTTTACCTACCATTCATTTTCTTTGCATGAATGCGAGAAATTTGTTCTTTCATATAGAAGGATTTGTCGTGATTCAGATCGAAGGTAAGCGCTTGATCTAAATATGATAACGCTTCTACCAAATCACCCTCACAGTAGAATCGGGTAGCTTTGATATAGGATCGATCGGCTTGTGGCACACCATGTGCGCTTTCTAACTTTTTTAACTCCTAGAATAGCCATTCAGAATAACAAAATGAAATAAACAATCTAATTTCGTATGAAAATTCACGTTACCTTCACGTCACCAATATTGAAAAAACATTTTGCCTTAAACAACTTGAAAGCTACACTTTCGGGCAACATCTTCAATGCTTCGTTCGCAATTAAAACTGAATAAATTTGGAATATTATTTTATATCTAATAGATCAAACAATTGATTAATTGAATACCTGCATCAAAGTACTTTTTTAGATAAAAACAATCAATACTACGCTGAGCATAGTTTTCCAACATTTTACGCAAGTCTTTCAAATATTCGTATTCGTTTTCGTGATGGTTAATTCTGGAAGAACTGGTTATCGCTCGCTCAGCACCATCATAATCACCGAAAATCAAGCAACATCTGGCCATATATTCGTAACCCATTTTTGAATTTCCATCAATTGCTACCGCATTCTTGCTATCTTCAAGAGCTCGTTTGTACTCCCCCAGCATAAAACAGCTTTTACATCGGTTGCCATAAAAAAGTGCATTACTCGGCCACAAATCAATGGCATCACTGTAGTTTTGTTCAGCCAATCCATAGTTTTCGGAAACAATATTACCATCACCTACAGCATTTTTCTCTTCTGCAAGTTTTTGTTTCATTGTTACAATCACTTTTTCCAGTTTTGATCGTACTTCTGCGCTTTCCTCTGGTTCTATGACGTTCAATGCGACTTGTAGTCTAACATACAATTTTCATATTCGTCAAGAAAATCGTAGCACTGGGCACGTAACAGCAATGCATTGCTTTTTATTGGATTTGCCTCAAGTATTCTAGTGCAATCATCAATTGTGTTGTGGAAATTTCCGATTTTCGAATTTGCCAATGCTCGATCATACAATACGTCATATACGATTGAATCACTTGTCAATTTTATCTCAAGTGCTTTGTTGTGAATTTCGATAGCTTCATTATATTTTTTGGTTTTAATCAAATCCTTGCCTAAAAAATACGATGCAAATAATTTCACAAAATCGCTAACGTTCCATTTTCACGTCAAATAAAATATTACCTTGTGCCATAAGCTCTTGAACCTTTCCAACATTTTGCTTTATTTCATTGATTTCCGTATGTTCTTTGTCCAACTGTACAAGTTTTGTTTCAAACTGTGACATATTGTTGGTCAGAGCTTCAAAGTATGTGCATATGGATAAAGTACGTGGGCCGAAGATATCGTCTTGATTGACATTTAGATGGCATTCGGAGAATTCTTTCAATTCCTATGAATTAATATTATTTAATCAGTACCAGCTACTATTGTACAATTGAAACTTGGTTGATGGTTCCAGAAGAAGTTTATCTCTCCCACTCAAAATACCTGGGACCTTTTCAAAACTTTGTCAATTAGGAAGATAGTATTGGGCTTCAATTTCCCAAATTTCACTAGAATCTCCGGTTGAAATTCGCCTGGATTCTCATTTGCACCATTTGATGGAGTTGTTGAAACTTTTTCGCGTTTTCCGCCCATCATTTTTTCACACTTTGATTTTCACTTTTTTATTTCACTGTACAATGTCAACTACTCGAAAATGAAACGTCGAATAACTAATGACATAAACGGCGATTTTGTCAAGTGCCGCATTGTTGCAAGTGTTAGATATAAACAGAGTTTGACTCAGGCGACAGATATATGCTTTAGCATGGAAAAAATATCCGTATATTTTTTGGTTTGTCCACTCTCAGTATATAACGGCACCCAGCTTCATCGAGTATCAGCACGCACACTGAACGTGGTAGTATAGGACGGTTTGTTTACGAAGAAAAAATATTGTTTATAAACAAAATCTACCAGAACTATACAGCGCAAAACCTTAACATAGGACAGCATTGCTGCCGTTTGAATACATT